TCCTGATTTTTAAAATTTGTACTGATTTGTACACCCAACCGACGTTAGCACCCCATTTGTGAAAATATTAAAATTTTTGTATTGCAATCGATAGTTCGTCGATTGTTCTTTAATGTTCGTCCATTTTTAACGTTTGTTCGTTAGCCAAAAATTTATAATTAATTTTTCAATTTTCACTTTACGTAATTCCTGAAGTTAGCACCCGCAACAGATTATTTTGGGTTAATTATTATTGCAATCGATAGTTCGTCGTTTGTCCTTCTTGTTCGTCCATTTTTAACGTTTTTTCCTAAGCCAAACATTTATAATTAATTTTTTACATTTTACGGTTCCTGCCTTTAGCACCCCAAATGTAAGAAATTCATTATTTTCATTTGTTAACTGTGATAAATCGTTTGTTCGTCGTTAGTTCGTTGTTTTCTCATCCCTAAAATCGTGCAAAAGCCGTTAATAAATTCATCATTTTTACTTTACGTTAAACATTACGTAAACGTTTAAACAATAATTGAAATTGAGGCCGATGAGCTAAAAAAAAGTAAGCGTGGACTGCCCTCTTTTCCTGATTTTAGCGGCATATTTTTTTTTTGTGCAAATTATCAGGGGTGGCGCTAAGAGGGCTAAACGTGAAATTTTCAACATTTTTAAAAGCTTATATTTCGAAAACTATTTAAAAACTATGGACACAGTTGGAAAAGTGATTGAAGGACCTTTCATTCGATATATATTTATGTATATAATGTATACATATTTTGAGAAAAAGTATAAAAACCTAATTATGGCAATTTATTTTATAAAAATGTATGTTTTTCGTAAAAAAATACGTAATTAACTATGTTAACAAATATGATGGGAAACCACATAGCCCTAGGGAACCGTTTGAAAATGGGCGAAAAGCAGCAATTACGAGGAAAATTGAGCAGTTTGAAGTGGAATATAACCCAACTAACAGAATCTGTGGGGTTTTTAAATAAAAGAAGTTATCCCAAGGTGGTTATCAGGCGAAAGAAGGGGGGCGAACACCTTTCTGCGTGGGCGGCCTTCAGGGATTATAACCCTCAGGCAGTAGAATTCTCCTTTCTGTGTTACCAAAGAAGGGGTGCTGAACACCTTTTGCAGAGAACACTTAGGGATTATAACCCTCAGGCAGTAGAATTCTCCTTTCAGTTTTGCGAAGAAAAGGAGCTGAACACCTTTTGCAGAGAACACCTTTGTATATTTTTAATGCTTACTGGGCTATATCCTATTTTCTTTTGTCTCTCATTCTTTTGCATATTTTGGAGTTTGACAGCTGAACTCCGCCATTTAATTTGCATATGCAACCAAAGTCAGACGCATGATTTAGAAGGTGTTTTTATTTAATAAATTGTGATTAATTGGTTAGTATTAAAGTCATAAAGAAAGTTATAACACATCGAGTAAAGTGTAAAGGAGAATGTAAAAATATATTGGTGAAGTGGCTGCTTTAAGGAGAATAGGAGTGATAAATGTACGCTAATTTCCGAATTTTACAAAAAAGGGCATATTATAAAGGGCAATACCTCGAAATAAATCGGCAACGTACTAAACCGTACCCAATATGATTATCAGAAAGAGCACAAAAATATATTTAATTTGATGTATGACTTGTAACAAAAAATTCTTCTGCACATTATATTTGTTTAAATATATATTAAAATATCGTTTTATATGAAAAAGAAAAAGCGCCGCAGGAACAATTTGGAATAAAAAATCCCGAGATGTTTTATTCCAAATTTTCATTAGCTGTATAGTAAACTATTATCGTTTTATATAAAAACTTAAAAAAAACGCCGCAGGTATATATTAGAGTATGCTTATGCATTATTAATTGTCATCATCATCATTTTCGTCTACATTTTGAAGTTTTTGGGGATTGTAGAGATTCCCGCATACTTTAAAAAAGTTTCAAAGTTTACTTAAGTTATACCAAGGCATATTCAATAAGGTAGAAGTGACAATTCAGTCGAGCTTTCTCATAGCTGCCCTACAAGAATTGTGTGATGGAAACTAACACATTCTCATTTATCTCACTAACACATCATGAACGAAAGCCACAAGATCACGCGGGAAGGAAAGAACGAAAAAAGTTATTTTCAAGCTGCCGAAATCTCGACGCCATCTTTGTTGTAAGAAGTAAACAACGAAGAGAACGGAGAAAACCGCGAAATTGTTGAACGCATGAAAAATCATTTTTATTATGCAAATTCTTCTAAAAATCATGCCGTTGTGTTAAATTATTCTTTATCTTATGTGTACACACGTTGTCACAAGCGAAAATGAAGAAAATTGCAGTAAAAAGCCACCACCAAATTGTAAACAACGAAGAAATGTAAACAAACGGCTAATGTCAAAATCGTTCAACTTTTTTCCTTAATGCGATTCTAACGGGCTACTCTCCTGCCCGCGTGATCTTGTCTTTTTGGTTCATGCTAACACATTTGCAAACCTTTCTAATATTTTTGCGTTGGTTAAAAAGAGACCATTGTTACAATTTTTTTATGTATATGCAAGAGTGAAACAACTAATACATTCGCCAGAGTTGCAAAAGAAATCAAAGAAAAGTAAGCTGCAAAAGCGCGCGCGTGGATTAAATTAAAATATTAAAAAGGTGGAATTACCAGAAGCGGAATTTAAGAAAGATAAGAAAAATGAATAAAAGGCACTTGCAAAATTGCATAACAAAAGAAAAAAGGGCATTTGAGTCCGATGTGAAAAAATTTAAAAGATTATTAGAAATGCAATGTGCTGATGGTGTTGCAAGTGGAAGTGATGGTGTTGCAAGTGGAGGTGATGGTGGTCATTTGGTTTGGGAGTCAGGAGCATCCACTTCTGCGGGTGCTTCTTTATTAAAGCCAGGTAGAGATGTAATATTTGAGCCCACAGAATCGCCTTCCGCAAGTGGTTGCCTTTCTACCCCAAGCGTCGGTGAAAATGTGCTTCCTGAGCCCGGATCATCAATATGTTCAGATGATTCATTTCTCATTGAGCGTGGGTGGAGTGAAACTGACAGTGCTTCGGAAACTGAATTAGATCCTGTAGCTTCCTCTTCCGTGGGTACTGATTCTTACCCTGTGCGAAATATTGGTAGGAATGAAAAATGCGATGTGATAAAATCATGGGCAATTCGGAATAGCGTATCACAAAGTGTTTTAGAAGATTTATTACATTCTTTAAGAAAGATAGGAGTGAATGATTTTCCTTTATCGGCTAAAACTCTTCTTAACACAAGTAAGGAAAAAATTCATATTGCCAACATTCCCAGTGGAGAGTTTTTATACTTAGGAATACAAAAGTATTTTCTCTCATCTTCGTTTGAATTTTTAAATGGGAAGGAAGAAGTCTTAATCGATGTCGGTGTGGATGGACTTAAAGTGTTCAAAAGCTCAAACAGAGTTTTGTGGCCTATCCTTGGGGCGATTGTGGGCTTTCCTAAAGTTAGTCCTTTCATGATCGGTTGTTTCTCGGGTTTCAAGAAGCCCGAAAATATAAATAGTTTTATGGCGGAGTTTTGTACAGAAGTAAAGTTGCTTAAAGAAAATGGCATCAAAGTGGGCCCCAACCAAAATAGGTTGCGATTCAATGTCCGTCTCTTCGTTTGTGACACTCCATCCAGAGCATTCGTGACTGGTATCGTATCTCACAATAGCAAGAATGGTTGTCCCAAATGCGATCAGGAAGGACTATATAAAAATAGAAGAGTGTGTTTTCTGAAAGAGGTAAGAGGTTTAAGGTCAGATTCTACATTTGAGCTTAAACGCGATCTGGCGCACCACATAGAACCATTCAAAACCAAAAAGAGTTTGTTGGAGGAATCCGGGTTCGGAATGGTTTCGCAGTTCCCCCTGGATAGCATGCATCTCGTCGATTTGGGGGTGACAAAAAAAAATGCTTAAACTCTTAATTAAGAAATCAAATTTAATTAACATAAATAATAAATTTAATTTTGTCGCTAAATTTGTTCCATCGGAATTTTGTCGTGTGCCTAGAAATTTAAATGACATAAGTAATTGGAAGTCCACCGAGTTTAGGCAATTTTTGCTGTACACCGGTATTTTCGTTTTGAAAGGTTGTATTAGTAGTGATCAATATTATCACTTCCTACTATTGCATAGCGGTATAAGACTGCTGTCCAATGAAAGGTCGCATCAAAGAGACGCAGATATTTCACAAAAGCTTTTGGAAGATTTCGTAAAATTTTTCGGAACATTATATGGTGACGAGGTAGTAAGCCTTAACGTCCATGGACTTCTCCATTTAACGGATTGCGTAAAACAATTTGGACCACTAGACTCCTTTGCAGCCTACAAATATGAGAACTACATGCAGTCTATTAAAAAAATTATAAATAAACCCAATCAAATTCTGCAACAGATATTTCTTAGGCTTGAAGAAAGACAGGGACTTGAATCAGTTTCGAGAAATGCTTCGAAAATAGGGTCATTTAGTATTTCCCATAAAAAAGGAAAAGACAGCTTTGGTTTCACTAAGAAGACAGGACCCATCAAAGTAGTGGACCAAGTGAGCCCCGAGAATTTTGTATGCAAAGTTTTCCAAAATACGGAAAACTACTTCGAGCAACCTCTGCAGTCGTTTAGTGGTTTAGGTATAGTTGTTGCTGGAGAATTGAGTAGTGAAACCAAAGTAGTTCCGGTTACAGATATCGAACTCAAATATTTTTCCATACCTATAGGCAACAAGTTTCTTCTTATTCCCCTTCTTCACCATCTATTTCATGAGTTTGCACACTAATCTAAGCATTGCATTTAAATTAATCTTGAAAATAAACAAAAATAATAAAAATAAAAGCAATAATATCAATAAATATAATAATAAAACTACTACTAATAATAATAATAATAAAAAAAATAATAATAATACTCTTAAATATTAACAAAAATATTAATAATAAAAATGACAACAAAATAATAATAAAAATAAGTATAATAACAATATTAATAACAATTCTTGATTTTTTAATACATGGATATATCCGGCAATATTTTTGAAGAGTCCTTCGATAGCCAAGAAAACAGTAAGCAAATAAATTAATAAACAAAAACACATATATATCAGTTTAGTTTTCTTTTTAGCAATTTTGCCAAAAAAATCGTATGACGCTTTAAGTGATCCGCTTCCGGAGACATCGGCATCATCTCAAAATGGTACGCAAAATACGAATTTCGCCTATAGTAATTAATTATTTATTTGATATTTTCGTTTAAGATATTCTGAAAGCTTTGAGGGAAGTCCTGAATGGGCAAAAGGAGTCCAACGCACGGCTGGCAAAGTTAGAGGAAAATGTAATTTGCGTTTCTGTTTTTGATAAATGTATTTTCTCATTGTAAAAATACTTCTCATACTTAAGCAAACGACTGTAATACAAAATCAAGCCATTCTTAGCCAGGGATTGGCTAGTATTGTAACCAACCAAGAGGAGATAGCTAAGAAGCTAGAGAAAAGAAATATATGTGTAAGAATGTGGTAATTTTACTCCTACACGTTTATTAATGTAAAACATTTTCACCAGATCGAAAAGAACCCGGAGGCGATGGCTCAGACGAAGGCGCTAAGAGAGTGTAAGGTGGCGGTTAGAAAAATTGAGATGTCCGTTTGCCGCCTGATGGGAGAGTTGGAGGACACGTTCATGAACGATGTCACCAGCATGCTCCCATTAGCAACTACCACTGGGGTGCTGAATGTGGAAGAAAGGCTTCAGGTTCAAGAGTTTGCCCAAGCAATGGTAACACTCATTGTTGTTATATTATACCCATATAAATTTATTATCTTTTTTATAGACTTCGTATTTGAACAAAATGAAGGGGACATCAGAAGATGTCGGCACTGTCATTCGCGGCATCTTCACGGATGACCTGCTTCACAACTACAATTGGGACGGGACATTGGAGAAACAGGCGCTTCATAAACTTAATATTATTAATAATATTCTGCGAGGTACTTTCTTTAATCTACCAAAGAAAAGCTATTTTTATAAGATATCTTTTTGCATTTCATTTCAGATGTATTCCAGAAACAAGGGGCCCTCAACTTCGAAAGAAGTGTGCGAAAGGCGGTGGAACTGAGCCACCATCGCGTTCAACAAAAAAAATATTTAAAAAAGGGGAAACAAAATTAACCTTTTTTATCTTTTAGTATCTTCTGCCTTAAGTTTAAACTATTTTGAAATAATATGCCTTTTAAGTTTTGTATAATTTAATTTCTTCTAATTAATTTAAAAACGTATGTATGTACATACATATGTAATAAATGTGAAGTGAAAATTAATGTATGTATTAAATTTTTTTAAATATTAGGATCAACTATGATGGGTATGTGCATCAAGCATGATTGCTTACCTGTGATAGGATTGCACATCAAATATGATTTATCAGTCATGATGGGTCTATACATCAGGTGTGATCGGTCAACTGTGATATGTTCATACATCAAATTTCATTAATCAGTAGTGACAAGTCTGTAAATCAAGTTTGATGGATCAGCCGTGATAGGTATCTACGTCATCGTTCACTGTCGAGATACGGTGGAGTAAGCAGTTCAGCTATATTTTAAATAAGGCCATAAAATTCATAAGTTGAAAGAAGATAAAAAATCACACGTATACATTTGTTTCCATCATTTTTTTCACATTGGCCTTAAGAAATACCCGTCTGCGATGGGCAACAAATAAAGTCACTGGCACTAAAATGGTCTTCGCGCACACGTGAAGAGTCTCCTAATGAAGTATTGATACTTCGGAGTTTTAAAATAACGCACAAGTTTGTTGTCCTGGCTCTAGTCAAACACAACATACCGCCCGTAATTCTTTTTCATTTTATTCTGTATTTAAAATCAGTCGCACAGCTCACAATTGAAAATTTATATTAAAAAAATTAAAATTTTTAATAGTATAGGGTTAAGAGTTGACATATTAGTCGCAGTTCAAAAGAGAGAAATGTCGAAATCACTTCTACCTTGTTATGCCTTGAGTTATACGAAGACGACGTTGTTCCGATTTTTTATTCCAAATTTTCTCCTGCGGCGCTTTTTTCTTTTTTTTTATATAAAAGCATACTTTAATATATACCTGCCGTGTTTTTTTAAGTTTTTATATAAAACGATAGTTTACTATACAGCTAATGAAAATTTGGAATAAAACATCGCGGGATTTTTTATTCCAAATTGTTGCCTGTGGCGCTTTTTCTTTTTCATATAAAACGATATTTTAATATATATTTAAACAAATATAATGTGCAGAAGAATTTTTTGTTACAAGTCATACATCAAATTAAAGATATTTTTGTGCTGTTTCTGATAATCATATTTGTTAATATAGTTAATTACGTATTTTTTTACGAAAAACATACATTTTTATAAAAAAAACTGCCATAATTAGGTTTTTGTACTTTTTCTCAAAATATGTATAAATTATATACACAAATATATATCGAATGAAAGGTCCTTCAATCACTTTTCCAACTGTGTCCATAGTTTTAAAATCGGTGCAATAGTTTTCGAAATATAAGCTTTTAAAAATGTTGAAAATTTCACGTTAGCCCCCTTAGCGCCGCCCCTGATAATTTGCACAAAAAAAAATATGCCGTTAAAATCAGGAAAAGAGGGCGGTCCACGCTTACTTTTTTTTTAGCTCATCGGCCCCAATTCCAATTATTGTTTAAACTCTTACGTAATGTTTAACGTAAAGTAAAAATGATGAATTTATTAACGACTTTTGCTCGATTTTAGGGATGAGGAAACGACGAACTAACGACGAACAAACGATTTATCACAGTTAACAAATGAAAATAATGAAATTCTTACATTTGGGGTGCTAAAAGCAGGAACCGTAAAATGTAAAAAATTATTTATAAATGTTTGGCTTAGGAACAAACGTTAAAAATGGACGAACAATGAAGAACAAACGACGAACTATCGATTGCAATAATAATTAACCCAAAATAATCTGTTGCGGGTGCTAACTTCAGGAATTACGTAAAGTGAAAATTGAAAAATGAATTATAAATTGTTGGCTAACGAACAAACGTTAAAAATGGACGAACATTAAAGAACAATCGACGAACTATCGATTGCAATACAAAAATCTTAATATTTTCACAAATGGGATGCTAACGTCGGTTGGGTGATTTGTACTGAATTTTCTGTTCAAACAAAATACTTTAGTATTTTCTTAAGGTTTTTACATAACTACCTTAAACTTTACTGTAAAAAATAAGAAGAATATAATTTAATTATAGTTGACATGTTTTGGATAATGTTTGATATGCCCAAGAAATTAATACAACAAAAAGATCAATCGTTTTATGGGCATATCGCCGGGTCGTTACGTACCAGTTGCGATAATATGATGGAGCTTAAATTATTTAAAAAAAAGGCTTAAATTTTTGTCGAGTGTTGTTAGTTTCCTCGAAAATAACTTTCAGTTTAATAACAATAAATTTCAATACTCGAATGGCTTTTGCCTATAACTTACAACTCCTTTTTCTCAATTTACTGACTTTGTAAAAGAGTTTTGCATACAAGGCATAGAGTTAGATACTCTTTTTAGGGAATTCTTAGTTTTTCACAGTTTTTGCGTAGTTGAAAAATTATTTAAGCCATGGGGAAATATAGATGAACTCCTTAAAAAGTGGTACTTTTTTACAGTATGAGAGGATCTTAAGAATAAAGTTTGTTTCCTGGCGCAAAGAGAGAAACCGGCTTCTAATTAAAATTTTTGAAAGTGAGCTTCAAATTAAAAGTAATTTTAAAATGAAATGTATAGAATTCGTTGACTATTCAAACACTGAAAATGGGAATGATCTCAATATTGCTATTCAAAAATGTCATAAATATAAAATAATTTATTGGCTCCTGCGTACGATGATGTGTACACTCATGTTAAAATAAATAACATTTTTATATTTTATGAACTACTAGTGAACCCGTATGGCGTTTTTGTTTAAAATATTTTTTTTTTATAAAAAAAGGTATTTTTTCCTTATAAATGTTTTTTCTCATACATACGAAGTATACGAATTGCATATCAGAAGAAAGCGGGTTTAATCACGCTTACGACGATATTAATTTTTTTTAAATCAGTTCAAACTTGTTTTAAATAGAAGGTTTTTATTTTTTCAAAAACCCGACCTTTGACCCCTTTATAGCACCTGTAACATACAAAAAGCTATATATCGTTTAAATAAGGGCGTACCACGACTATGTTTTTACTTTTTTTAGTAGTTTACATACAGTAATTAAAAATAATTTTTTACCAAAGGTCCAATTTCGAACTTCGAAGGCCCATATCTCGGCTAACTTCGAAAAACGGAGAAATTACTTTTTTACCTATGACTCAATCTCTTAAAAAAAATTAGTTTGGTCCAATACCCAGAAAAAAAGTTGATTTTGCCGTACAGCGTTATTGCTATTCAAAAAGTCACAAATATAAAATAATTTATTGACTCCTATGAATAATGTTAAAATGAATAACACTTTTATTTTTTATGAACTATATTTTATTTATATACCAAAATATTGTTAAAAACAAGAACTGAGGCGTTTTGAATTATTTTCTGTTACTTACATTCATAATTTTGCTTTGAATAAAAATGTACTGAAAAGTACTGATTTTTTTAGCATGAAAACGTCTAATGTACTGATTTCGCGCATAAAAAATCTGGCAACCCTATTTGCAATTGAGTTTGAGAAAAAAGTATGTGACGTTCGTAATTTTGAAGCTTGCTGTTTCTGTTTTGTTGTTTACATTTATTTCTTTATGTGCATTTTGGTGGTGGATTATTTCAGAGATTTTGAAGCGATTTTCAGTAATTTTTTTATTCATATTTAATTAAAATGATCGCAACGCGATCCATGTGGGACCGTGATAGGAAGCTGAAGAGGGAAGCGAGACGTATTTGCCGCAGTAAGAAGAGAGAGGCCGAAATACCTGAGTGTGGAGAGCTTAAAAGGGCGGTTAGGCGACTTACGGAAAGTTTTAAGACCAGGGCGAACTCTTGTAAGAACAACAATGGCGATCTGGTGACCGATGTCCAGAACGTACTTAAATTATGGAGGGAACACTTTTCGATCCTTTTGAATGTCAGAAGCACTAAAAGAAGTGAAGAAGATGAACCCGAGTCCCCATTCGATGACGATGTAGTCGATATCCCAGCGCCTGACTATGACGACCTGTCAGCCGAGCTATTTAATAACGATGGCAAGGAGCTAATAAAGTGCATACCCGACGACTGAAATTCAAGTGCGCTCTGCCCAATCCACAAGAAAAGCGACTCCGCTATGCCAGCCAACTACCGCGGAATCAGCCTTCTAAGCATAGGTTACAAGGTCTTATCGAGGGTATTGTGTGAAAGACTGAAGCCCACCGTCAATGAACTGATTAGGTCTTATCAGTATGGCTTTAGACCT